TTTATAATATGGGGCATGTACCTAGAGAGCTATGCGAACCTGGCAGCATATTCTTCCATAGTCACATTTCCTTTTTGGAGTTCAATGAACTCTACTTCTTTCCTTTCCTTAACTGAGTCTGGGAAGTATTTCTCATCAAAGGCCGCCAAAAATTTCGATTCCTAACTCCCTTCAGGTTTTCTTCACTGATTCCTACCAGTGCTCAGCTTTTCCTTCTAGCATGAAGGTCCCAAGTCTAACTTTCTGCTCATTCGAGCAGTGCAATACTTCTAGAATCTTCTCTCTCTGTCTCTTCTATCTTTCGACCTTCTCTACCCCTCTTTGCCTCAACAAGGTTGGGGGTGCCAGCCTTCTAAACCTCTCTATTAGGTTACTACTTTTCTGCTCCGGGTTAGGGGAGGACTGAACTGACATCGACTCTTTCATCATCTGGGTCATGGCCCTTAGAGTCCTATAAAATTCATCGAGTGCCTCGGTGTTCTCATTGCTGGAACTCGCGTTGTGGGTACGAGCTCTCGACATCTTCAATCGGACCACAGGAGCACCCAATCACTTGTCCACCCCAAGGCTATTCTAAAGATTCTCTTAAACTTCGTAGGCCAAGGATCCTATCTTGGCCGCTCTGATACCATAATAGTCACGACCCCGCCCCCGTCCGCCTAGCCTTTACTGACAAAGGGCCATCGAGCATGGATTCGTGATCCCAATGTAGTGTTTGTCACTCAGGTAGGAGTAGACTCAACGCCTTGTTCACGGTAATCAAGCAAACCAAGGAAAGTAAACACTTACGTGAGCCTAAAAATTTAAAACTTAGCAATTCCATTAAAAAGAATAGACATTACATTATATTACAACCCAAAAGTAGTACAATAGGACTCAGGGCTCTCGGGCCTAGAGTTACATAGTTTCAAGAAAATAGTACAAATAGGGCTGAGAGCCCAGCTACCTACAAGATCTAAAAATCCTTCTCAGAGTGGCCACTTTGATCTTTAGCTGCAACCCGCACTCCCAACTCTGAACCTGCCACTTTCAGTCTACAAGGAAGGAAAAATAATAGAATGAGCTTTGAGGCTCAGTAAGTAGATTGAGTGTTATCCTTTGGTAACCAGTCTACCCATGTGGAATAAACAATTTACTAGATCATAATCAGTGGCCGTGCAGTAGTCACATACATTGGTCATCAGATCAGTACATCCATTATAAATAGGATATCCAAGTAACAGTGAATCAAATATAGAAAAAATTATACATAAATTAAAGACAATATCGTGTATCAATTATAAATAATATCATGCAATCATTACAATTATAGGAAATCACCGTCATAATTCATTCATTATACACTCACTCCGTTGTTCACCGACTCCTGCTAGTAGAAGCCCTATCCATCAAGCCAAGCCAATCCCGTTGCTTAGGACTTCTACCATCCCACAAAGAGGGAGGGTAATGACAACTAGGGTAATCCACTTCGTAATACCCTCAACTCACACACACGGTCTTCAACGCGCATTGGGGATTCGATAGGCCTTTACCTTGCAAGGCATCTATCAATCATGTATCTCATCTCATGAATCACAAGGAGCGACCCTCCTTTCTCCCCTAACCAATTCTTGTCATTGTGCAGGTTAGGGAATATGCCGACATCACCTCCTTGGTGTATCAATCTCCACTATCGATGGGTGTCCCATCACGTAGTGGCCAGTATCAGTAAAGCAGTGGCTAGTATTCTCATCAATGTAATAGTACAATACCCACTACCAATGGGTGTCCCATTGTATAGTGGTCATCATTAAGGCCTCTTTCCATGCTCGAGCATTCAATTCATTCATGCCAATTCAGTGCCTCATAACAGATAAATTACATTCTCATCATATAAATATAACAATTAACACGAAACATTCATTATATGAATCGTAGCATAACATTTACACATGGATATCATAAATGGCATTTTGGCGCTTATCATGAAATAATCACATCAATATGGCGCTTATCACTTTTAACATAGCACATTGTTGTGGAGCATCATTCTCATAACCTTGTGGCATAGGCATGTCAATTATCATATAGCATTCATACTTGTCACTTATCAAGGGAATTTTAATGCTTCAATTAATAGCTAGATGAGAAAATTTCAATGTTTCACTTATTACGGAAATTGGACCTCATTAGTTTGGTCGAAAACTCAGTTCTAATTAAATAATAGTTGCTGAAAACAGTGGGTAGTGATACACTCACGCATTTTGGGGTATAATTCAAAATTTATGGGAAATTTCAAAATCTCAAAACGTTTAACTTTAAGTCTATTCATAGAGCTTTCCAACGGTGACAATTTAAGGACGTTTGGCCGTTGTTTTCCAAGCCAAAAGTGCGGCCCAAAAAGAGTCGACTATGAGCAGTGACATGTCTCACGTTTTAGGCCATCTCTTTTGATCCATATGACATTTTATCATGATACAAAAAAGCAAACCTTAACTAGACATGTATATCTTTCATTTAAAACCAATTTGGTCAACGAAACGTATAGGGCAACAGCCTGCACAGTTGCTCGAAAATATCCTTCCCTCAAGTCACCATATTATACACCATCTTATAGATCGACTAATATCATAATTTTAGTCTTAATCATATCAAGCAAACTTGTAAGTTTGGCCAGAAAATAACTCTATAATTTTTTCAAAATTCATTGGCCATGTTCAAACGTTTATTCCACTTCATTTGTTGTCACTCTACTTTCATTCATTATATCGGTCTTGTCCCATTCAAATGAATTTAAGGGAGGCATAACGCTAAATCCACTTACCTAAAGGTCATGACGCCGCTAAACTCCCTTGCGCAGGTCGCCCCTTGCTCCCCCACAGCAGCTTCACTCTTGGATTCTCAAGCGCAGGTCACCCTTACCCAAGATGGAAGCTGGCAGCTTCCTAATGGCGGCAGCACAAAGCTCGAGCTAGGCGCTATAGAGAAAAAGTTTGAGGGGAAAGAAAGGGAATCCCACGGTGGTGGGCAAGGGTGTGATTTATAGGAGCGTGGGTAGGTAAGATTCATTGTGGTTGATGCTGTGGTACACGGAGGAAAAGGGATGTGGCTGGCGTCACTCGTACAACACGGCATTGATGAATTCGGTGCGGCGCTGACCGTATTGACTATCGTACCAGGTTAGTTGAACACGCGTGGCGTTACCCTCTGGCCCATCTCTATTTTTCCACACAGCATTGGTCACTCATTCACACGGCGCTCCTTCACCGTTACGCTTGGCGTTACATCTCTCGCCTTTGACGCGTGGCATTAGCCTAGGCAGCGTTACTCCAAACGGCAATGCAAAGGCTTCTTTGTTCTCTCTCCAAGTCTCAAACATCGCTACTACACACCGTGCACGACGTTACTCCTTACGCTCACGGCGATGCCTCCATTTGTGCACGGCGTTAGTCTGGCCTGCACACGACGTTAACCCTTATACCCGTGGCATTGCCCTCACTTGCACGCGGCATTGCCTCCATGCTACATGGATGGCACTAGACCGAATCACACAAACGGCACTATCCTTCACCCTTAGCGTCGAACGTGCGCTTCCGTCTCTTTCGTCTTCCTTCTCTCTACTGCCGCGAGTGATCAGGCTCAATTGAATTGTGGCCTTACAATCTCTCTCTAAATTCTACAGCCGATTCCTTTCTCTCTAAACCTCTCTCTTTCTCTAATGACCATGTACCATAGGATTTCTCTTTAATGGCCATGTACTATGGAATTTCTCTCTAATAGCCATGTACCATGTGATTTCTCTTTCTAACCGTTTATCTCTCATCCCTATCAATCTTTCTCCAACTTGATTTTGTTATTTGGTCTTATAAATATGGACCTGGTTTCTATGCGGTCATATGTAGAAATACGGGCCTCTCAATACATCTATTTGTTAGATGGATTTTAAGACTTAATTATTAAGAACATGTAATCTCTAACGTGGAGATCATGAATGTGAAAAATAAATAACTTTTAAAAACTAGAAATAATAATTCTAGTAACAAAACATTTGGACCGTTAGTTTCCATTGTTTTTAGACGAAACACATACTTGCATCCATCTTTAAAATGAATGCTTTACACTTTCTGGACTTCATATGTAGAAATGCGATCTAGCCCACATGAAACAATTTTCCTATAAATATATTGTGTAAACATTAGATACCATACTAAAAACATTCTTGTATGAGTTCTCTCCCTCTCTCTCTCAAAGGGATTTATACAGGTAACCTTTCAAGTATATTGGGGATTAAAGAGGGAAATGTTGGTTAGAGAGGAGTGAAAGAGAGAAGTGTAGGTTTAGAGCAAAAAGGATTTAAGAGTTTTCGGGTTGGTTATTAGAGAGAGAAAGATATTCAAATAGACATGATCCTGCTGTAAAATTGAGAGAGAGAAACCAACTGTGAGAGGGAGAGAGGCAAGCAGACTCTAAGGGTTGCCACCGTGGTGAATGGAGAGAGAGAACCCTACCGTAATACAGGGAGCAAGAGCTCACCGTGGTGAAATGAAAAAAAGGGAGAAGAGGCGAGAGATATGGGGTTAAAGAAGGGAAAAACAATGTTAAAAATATTTTTGGATTGAGATAGTATAAAATGACTTGAGGCTAATTTTAAAGATTAAAAAGTGAATAACCAAGGGAGATACCAGATCAAGAGGTACGGTATTTTTATGATTAAACGTGAATAACCTAAAGAGATACCGTATGAGGAGGTATGGTATTTTTATGATTAAAAGTGAACAACCAAAGGAGATACCTGATGAGGAAGTGCGGTGAAATACTTCGGGGTTTCTTTATGCCATTGAAAAGAAAAATGAGAGGGGATCTACTGTGAAATGAGATGAGGAACAAAATTTTCCCTTCTTTAGGTTGAAATTTCCATCCAAAATTTCCATCCAAACCGTCATTTCCACCGGTTAAATATTTGCAAGACGAAAACTTAGCTATAGTCTACAACGCGGTTTAAAACGCACCACAGGACCACAGAAAGAAACCGCAAAGGTTACAACTCTGAGTCCAAGAGGACGTATATAGTGATGGATGCTAATCCTGTTCCAGTATCGTCTGATTTCATTTGGGATTGGTTTACTGGTTTCTTGATTTTTTTCAAAATCTCTCCCCCGGAAACCATCTGGGTCTACTTTCCTTACAATCATCGTCGTATAATATATACATATATGGCCGCTTCTTAGAGGCCTGAGGTTGATCTCCCTCTGGTTTTGGTTTTGTTGATTTGTTGTTGATTTGAATTTTGGGGTTTCCACCTAGCCATGGGTGACATGAAGGACAAGGTGAAGGGCTTCATGAAAAAGGTGAACAACCCATTCTCATCATCATCATCAGGAAAATTTAAGGGTCAAGGTCGAGTTTTGGGCTCTTCTTCTTCTTCGTCATCGCCCTCTCCACACCACCGCAACCCGCCAAACATTCCTCAGAAACCAAAGCCACCCACCGTTATCCGCCCTGACTCGAAACCTAAGGTGACAGACTTGAACCATGATAGCGAGGTGGAATCCATTCAAAATGGAATGACATCAAAGTTCTCTCTCTCCTCCCATGAAAAATCCCCAGAATCGAATTCAAGTGGATTTGATCCTTTCAGCCTGTTCATCTCTTCTGGCCAAGCCTCAAATAATAGAATGTCTGAGAATTCGTTTGAGTGCCCAGTTTGTGGGGCATTCTACAAGTCCGAAAATGAGGTCACTATGCACATTGAGACCTGCTTGAATGAATCCAAATCTGAAAATTTGGATAATTCATCAAATCTGGGGATTGAATTGGAGTCAAGAAATAGATTGATAGAAACTGTTGGGGCTTTTTTATCAGGGGAGCCATCTGAGCAATGCTTAGATGTTGTATTGAAACTCCTAAAGAACATTATGAGGGATCCAAGCAATGCAAAGTTCCGGAGAATAAGAATGAGCAATCCAAAGATTCAACAAAGTGTTGGTTCAGCTGTTGGGGGTGTGGAGTTGCTTGAAAGTGTGGGTTTTGGGTTTGAAGTTGAAGGTGATGATACTTGGGCTTCGATGGAGTCACCATCTGACGAACAAATTGCGTTGATTAGTGAAGCCATTTCATTGTTGGAGCCTAAAAATCCAGAAATTAAAAAATTTTCTTCACCAGAGGCTCCAAATAAATATGAAGATGCGGACAAATCGAAGAAAGTTATTGACAGGCAGGTAAGTCCATGATTGATGGCTATGGCTGGTGAAATTGTCTATCCATTCATTGTTAAATATAATTGGTTAATTTTGGATAAAATTTGTCTCTTTGCAATGAGTTTTGCTTCTGATTTCCATCTCTCACCCAATTAATTCCATGGTTTTTAACTCTCTTGCTGGATTATTTTTACATTTTCTCTTGGAATGTTCGAAAATTCGACTGCCTAGGTGGCTAAGAGACTAAAGGCGGCACCTAGGCGAGGTACCTTGGTGGCTTGTGTCTAGGCGCCCGCCTAGGCGGCGACTTGCCTGCCTGGGCACTACAGTCAAGGCCGGCGCCTTGGCGCTGCCTCGATGCAAGTTGCCGAGGGTGGGAAAATGCCCTCAGCTAGGGTAAAAATGGTAACTTTTCCCTCATCAAAACGGGAGAAATGGGTTTTGGGGGACATTCTAAACCACAAAAACCAAATTCATGCCATCTACAGAGTAAAAACTCCCCCAAAACCTTGATTTTGTGATTTATCGAATGACCGATAATATTTTTTTTTTTTCAAGGCTATACTTTGTGGTAGTTTTCGGAGCTTCTAGTGGTTGAAATTGAGGACTTTTGGTGATTGAATAGACAAGGTTTGGGCTGACATCATTTTCATTTTGATATTTTGGAGCATTATAATATTTGAATAAAAAGGGGTTTTATTTTTTTAGCTATAATGTATTATATTTTGAATCATTTGATACTTTTTTTAGTTTTTTTCCTTTTATGATATATATACACGTTTGTAGTTGAAAGATTGTATTTTTTTGTGATTAATTGATTATTTCCTCGTTCGGACGATGTAATTAGTACTATATCGAATTCTCTTATGAATAATTGATTCTGTTTTTTGTACAAAGTGTGATGTTTTGATATCCTGTTAGTATAGTTTTACTTTTTGATAGTTTTACATATTTGTAGATGAAACATTTATTGATTTGGACTTATATTTTGTGAATAGTCTTAAACTTTGAATGAAATTGATATTTTGTGAATATGTAATATCCAAAACCAAATCTTATGGATATTAAGTAATAAATAATAATTATGTTATAACTTATATCTTAATTCTTATGTGAAGTTATCAAATAGAATATGCTCGAGTCATTGGATGCATAATGTACGCAAGGTACTGTTATCAACCTAATGTTGCTTACGTAGTAGGTAAACTAAGTAGAATTACCAATAATCTAGGTCGAGAGCATTCAAATGCAGTCATTGGTTCCTGTGAGATCTGAGAGGGACCATGGACTATTAATATCATTACATTGGTGAATACAGTATCTTGAAGGATACAAGGTTGTGTATGGGATCTACTAGTTGTCGGATCTTTAAAATTGGTAGGTGGGCTATTGCATGGGTCTCTAAGAAGCAGCACTTTATCGCTAGGTCCACTATGGATTTAAAGTTCATTGCCTTGGAGGCTGCTACTAAGAGCTAGAATGGATGAAAGATTATTTGGTAGATGTACCATATAACAAATACCTATACCTACAGTCTTAATTTACTGTGAATGCAAAGCTGTTATTTACTGATTAACGCATATTGGTTTGAGACACATTCAGTTGAGACAATTATGCAATGACTAAGTAAATTACTGGTTACCATACCAAAACTTGGAGGATCCATTAACGTAAGGCCTTACTAATGACCAAGTATGGAATACATCTAGAGGATTGGAATAAGGCCAACTTATGGCATGTGAATAAGTGATAGGAAACCTAGCTAGTAGACAAGGAGATCCGGAGTCCAAGTTTGAAAGGGTAAAACAAGTCACATGTGTGATAGTATAGGAGCACCACTATTTATCTGTAAATATATTGTAGGAAAGTAGTTTTCCTTGCCCATACCTAATTGTGATAATGCAAAGATTGCAATAAGAGGAGCTCAAGCTCAGCTCTTCATGAATCCTTTCACCTCGATAAAGTTAGACTAGGTTGGGATACTGAGTTGAAGATATAATTCACTTACATGATTGTGGAAGTGGAACTGCTTCTCATGGGAATGGACCTAGTGCTTATGAATACCTGATGTAGTGCATGAGGCAGAGATAAATGCGGGGGTGGTTTCTAAAGGAAATCAAAGCCAGAAAGAGAACATGTGTTATGCATAAGGTAGACCTATTAAGGCCATAATTCAAGCTTTGTCCATTCATTGTCTTGGGAAGTGTCCTTCATAGGATTTTATGAAGATTCAAGTCCTTAGGACACCTTTATTGATGCATTTTCTATTAAAGAAAATACGGTGTTAAAATATATGTAAAAATAAGGGCCCAATCTCTAATTTCTTTCTTACTTTTTTCTACTCCACTTAAAATGTATTTTAAAAGGAACTAATGCTTTTAGTAGAGAAAAAGAAAGACCTACATGAAGAGAGGGACAAGTGGTAATTGAGAGGCAACACTTGCCCATTCTCTCTCTACAAGTGTCTCTCTCATTTTTTGTTTTGTGGCTATAAATGGGAATGGGTTTTGGGGAGGCCAGGGCACCTTGCATGAGCTCTTTCTCTCACTAAAACCTTTTTCTCTCTCTTAAACTTTCTTGTGAGTTAGTTACTCTAGTCATTCTAAGGATTATAAATTCTATGATCACGAGACTAAGACTACCATAGAAATCAGAGATGCTCATTTTGTGGGGGATGAAGAAATGCTGAAAGGAAAACAACCTAAAATTATAAAAATAGGAGAATAAAGAAAACAAGGAGGAAACAAAGAAAGAAGACAAGAAAAAAAAATGCGCAAAGATTACTAACTTTGTTATCCACAAAGGAATTAAAAACCAAAATCGATTGCAACTATTGTAAACCTCATCTAAACATACTCAATATAATTTCCAGCAAATCTGTACTCATCTAAAAGCGCATATAAATCACTCCAACAAACAAAGAACAATACCCTATAATTTACTCCTTGCTCATACGGCCTTTCCCAATCTTCAAGTACTATTTCAGATGCAAAGTGTGAACAAAAACTTGGAACAAACTCACCAAATTCAAAGAGATCTGCGGGCCCAGTTTTGTAGCCTTTCTAGAGAGAGAAACTTGCTGAGAATGAGTTTTTCATGAACATATTGCATAAGAGGGAAGGCAAGCTTGCTGCAAAACAATGGTTAACAAATAAACTAGAGAGTGAAACTATTGTGAGAGGCAACACGATGCTGTAATTTATCCTATGACACTGGAGGGCACTCATAGAGATAAGAGATACGTCCTTAGTAATCAGATCACATGGAAACTTGAGTGAGAGAAAGAGGTTTTAAAGAAAGAGAAGGAGCTCTTGCAAGGTGCCCTGACCTCCCCAAAACCCTTTCCCATATATAGCCACAAAAGAAAAGTGAGAGAGACACTTGTAGAGAGATAATGGTCAAATGTTGTCTCTCAATGGCCACTTGTGCCTCTCTTCACGTGGTTCTTTCTTCTTCTCCACTAAAAGCATTAGTTCTTTTTAAAATACATTTTAAGTGGGGTAGAAAAAGAAAAGAAAGAAATTAAAAATTGGACCTTATTTCTATAAATATTTTTGAAACACATTTTCTTTAATATCTCCCCACTTGTTTCAAAATACTTATAAAACTATCATACAAAATTAACTATATATAAGTTGCTTGAGTTGTACATCAACAACAAATCCATCACACATATGAACCATCCACTCAATGGCATCAACCACACGCATTCCCACACTCATCAATTGTTGTGATGTAGTGCGTGATCATCAACCATATCGCGAACTTTACCTACATGCTTCTAGATTAGTGGACTTTCATTCTCTTGTTAGTGTTCTCCAAAATGCATCGGACACTTACACTATGAAACACACCTAACCAAAAAGAGTCTTTGTCATATGAAAAGGTGAATAACTATCAATATAATGAATCATACCATGATCCCACAAGGATCCTCAAACTGTTCAAACTAGCCATCACAAAGTGGAAAACAATGTCTTTAAGACATGCCAACTAGAGGTCATGCTCAATGAGTCATGCCAAATACAACTGTCAAGTTTATCCTTCACAATGCATATCACAAAGTCAAAAGACTGCTAGTTGGAGGTCATATTCAACTGTCCAAATTTTCAAGCTAGCCATCAAAGTGCAAAATATGGAGTCAAAAGACTGTTAGCTAGAGGTCATGCTCAATGAGCCATGCAAGTATAACTGTTCAGTCTAGTCTCGTAATGTGGTCCAATTACAATCCTTTTCTCCCGCATTTGAGATGGATTTCTCTAGAACTTCATGGCTGTCTATGGCCCTAATTTAGAAGCAAATATACCTCAATTCTGGGCGGAGCTGGACCATATCGCTACATTACCTCACCCTTGTTGGTGTTTGGGGGGGGGGGGGGATTTTGACATTATAAGATGGTCACACGAAAGAAACACTACCCAAACCCACTCTGAATGCCTTCTCAGACGTCATATCCCTAAATGAGCTAATAGACATTCCTCTCCAGGGGAGTCGATACACTTGGTTTAGCCACTCTCTTCAACCCATCTGCTCGAAGCTCGATAGATTCTTGGTCTCAATTGAATGGGAGCAGGCTTTCCTTGGTTCTCATGCCCTCTCTCTTCCCAAAACTACATCCGATCACTGCCCCTATTCTCCTAGATACTGTAGTAGTACACAGAGGCCCCAAACAGTTCAGATTCGAACTGGCTTGGCTTCAAGAGGAATCACTCCTAACATTGATTTCCCTTTGGTGGAACTCAATGTCCACACTAGTCACAGGAAGGGCAAGGTACAGGCTACAAACTAAAATTCAACTCTTCAAAATAGCCTTGAAAAACTGGAGCTCGTCTTTGCTTGGGAATTATTCTCAGAATAAAACATCCCTTCTTCAGGTTATCCAATCTCTAGACTGTTTAGAGGAAACCAGACCTCTAACTGACCAAGAAGCTACCCTTAAATCCTCTGCGCCAGTGGAATATTTTGCAAACCTTAAGAAAGAAGAACTCTATTGGTTTCAGAGGTCCCGTGTGAAATGGTTGAAAGCAAGGGATCCGAACACGGGATACTTTCATCGGATAGCTAATTGTCGAAGTAGGGATAACACCATCTCCATCCTCAGAAAGGGCAACATCTCTCTTACATCCGGGGGAAATAGAGGCAGCTATTTTGGATTATTTCCAGACCCTTTATGCCTCTACTTCGGCACGTAGGCTCAGGATGACTTCTCTTGATTTCCTCACTATCTCAGATCAGTGGAGTATGGCTTGAGAGACCTTTCTCGGAGGAAGAAATTATCGAGGCCATAAAAAATCTTGCAAAAGATAAAGCCCCAGGCCTGACAAATTCCCCATTGCGCCTTTCAAGATCTTTTGGAACACTTTCCGTCTTGACTTCATCTCTTTCTTTGAGGAGTTCCACACTAGGGGCATTATACACAAAGCTATAAATGCAAGCTTTATAGCCCTTGTACCCAAAGTGGAAGGAGCTGAGGAACCTAATGCTCATCTCTTCATTCATTGTGAACAGGTATGATACCTTTGGAGCAGACTTTTACGACTCTTTGGCCCAGAATGGGCTAACTCCACCCAAGTTACTTTCCCTTCTATCCACAGATTTCGCTAAACCCTGGCCCAAAGCTGGAAAAATCATATGGAAGGCTGCCATTGCTGCGCTCATGTGGGTAATTTGGATAGAAAGGAATAACAGGATATTCCAGGGACACTATCAACAGTTGCCTGCACTCCTACACAAGGTAAAGACTTTGGTAACCGTTTGGGCTACCAAACAAACAAACAAACAACTGGCAACCACCCCCAAGAGGAATTATCAAACTCAATTTCGATGGTTGCTCAAAGGGCAACCCAGGGCCAGCTGGGGCTGGGAGTGTATTCCGAGAGCATGAAAGGAATATTCTTCTCACGTACGTTGAATCCCTTGGCTATACTGACTCACAACATGCTGAAGCAATGGCACTGTTGATAGGGTTCAAGCTCTTTAACCCCTCTTGGGGATCCCATCTGATAGTTGAAGGGGATGCTTACAACATTATATCTTGGGCGTACTTTCGTTCTTTAATGAGATTGAATTCATTTGCAGGGATATCAGCGTCTCATGGAGGCATACATAAAAGACGTCCAACGCGCTCACAGATCTCATGGCTAATGACCAAGCTAATCTCACAAACAGTCCTAGGCCCCCTTTAAGCTAGCTGCTGGGCCTTTCTTTCCTTTTTGCTCACTACTCACTCTCATGTTGTAAATATGGTGCTATATAAACCCTCTCACGTTTTTTGCTGAGCCAACTCATTGTTGTCACAAGCATTGACTCTTTTATGGCTTTTTTGTAAAGGGACCACCTTGCTCGTTAGGGTTCTGGTAGCTCCCAATTTTTGTAAGGGACGCTAGACCCAACACTTGTATACACTATCTTTCATCAATGAAACAATTAACTTTATCCAAAAAACAAATGTGGATAACGGAGTCAAAAGACTATTAGTTGGCAGTGGTTCGTGACACTTACCCCTCCAAGGGATTTTGCCACATATATAAACCATTAACCTAACCACCATCAAAAGGTGCTTACACATGCCACATTGGCCTCATCGCCACTAAGGCAAATATGCCACACAAGCAAAGGGTAATCACATAACATTCCACATGTTCAATAGCTGCGCCACTAAGGCTCATCACAGGCATGTCACCAGAAACCTGTGGATCACAAACCCATACTCCTTACACATGTTTCATTGTTCATGTTGACATCTTTAGTCAACGGGTCAGCTATCATGAACTCTGTATGGAGATATCATCATCATCATCATAGCTTTTTCCCAATTAATTGGGGTCGGCTACATGAATCCTGGTCTGCCATTATGCTCTGAATAAGGCCATACCCTCAGTGAGACCATAAGTCCCCATATCTTTTTGAACTACTTCTAACCACATCCTTTTGGGCCTTACCCTTTGCCCTCTTCAATCCTTTCGCTTGAACTAACTTGCACCTTCTAACAGTGCTATACTGGGTCGACGCCACACTTGGCCAACCCAACTAAGTCTACTCTCTCTCATCTTATCGCCTATTGGTGCCACACCTAAACTTTCGCGAATGGATTATAACAAAACAAGGATTATATCATGAAATCCGTGTGGAGATATATTTCTTAATATCCTATGTACCACAATATAGCAAAACGCATTGGTAGAATGTATCATTCCGTGAGTGAGTACGTGGAACGAAAGCCAGTGTCACAGGATAAATTACCACATCGTGTTGCCTCTCGCAGTAGTTTCTCTCTCTAGATTATTTACGAACCATTGTTTTGCAGTAACCTTATCTTCCCTCTTCTATAATATGTTCATGGAAAACTCATTCTCAACATGTTTCTCTCTCTAGAAAGGCTACAAAATTGGGTCTATAGATCTTTCCGAATTTGGTGAGTTTGTTCTAAGTTTTTGTTCATACTTTGCATTTGAAATAGTGTTTGAAGTTTGGGAAAGGTTGTATGAACAAGGAGTAAATTATAGGGTATTATTTTAGTTTGTTAGAGATATTTATATGAGGTTTTTGATGAGTATAGACTTGCTGGAAATTACCTTAGGGTTGCTTAGATGAGGTTTACAATAGTTGCAATTGATTTTGGTTTTTGATTCCTTTGTAGTTAACAAAGTTAGTAATCTTTGTGCATCTTTTTTGAGTTCAAAGAAATTTGTTTGCGGCTGTTTTGATAGAGTTTCATGTCATATGTTTGTTGATTCTTCTAGTTGAGTTCAAAACCTAATTTAGATGTTATTGTATCTTTATTTACTTTTGAAAACTGAAAAGATTCGATGTATTTGGGCCAACAATTTCTTACCTAATTTGCTGATTAGAAATTTACAACAAGCTTTTGTGGATATGTTGGTAGCGTTGCATGCCATATGTTTGTCGATTCTTTTGGTTAAGTTCAAAACCCAATTTACATGTTGTTATATCTCTGTTTACTTCTGTAAACCGAAAGGATTCACTGTATTTGGGCCAACAATTTTTTACCTAATTTGCCAATTCACAGTCAAGTTGCTTTAAATAATCAGTTTTTTAACCAACTTGCTTGATTTCGGGGAGTTTGAAAGCCAATTGCAAAGATTTCTCTTTTCGTAAGATTAATCAACATGTAGGTTAATCAGTTCACACCCTTTATTTGTTAGTGAGTTGGGTTCTTTCCGAAACTGTTTTAAATAAGCTTCTTCACCTTAAATTGGCAGCAAGAAAAAAATCAGAACCGTCGTTCACGGATTTTGACCTTGGTTAATTGGGTAAGCCCAATTCTCGCTATTGTTAAGCTCTAACCACTCTTTCATTCATCCACCTTTTGACATGTAGCCGTCCTGCCAACCACTCTCACCTACTTCGTTGTTTCAACAGTAGATTGATAGTAAGTTTTGAAAAACAACTCTTTGAAGCTTTAAAAAGTAAACTCTATTCTACGAGTTTTGACCTTGGTTAACTCAGAGACCACATTTTCTCCTTGATTTCTTTCAGAAATTGATTTTCCTATGTCTGCAATCAAGTCCTTCACCCAATCCAACCAAAACGGAAATTAGTTTGGCCCCCACATTCTTCAGAAGTTTCTGGGATGTGCAGCTTTGAGAAAACTTTAACAAGTGTTTCATTTGTCTCAATTTTATCCTAGGGTCGTCTGGGCTTGATTATATCGCAGATATCCTGGGTTCAGGGCGATTAATATCTTGGAGACAGCATGGACATCTCGTGGCTTGGGGCCCATAGTGGAGCACAACTAAGACTCGCATTCAAAAGTTTGAAACCTTTTGTCCATTATTTTGGCTCATTAGAGAATAAATTTCGTAGATCGTGTTTGTGAAACCCCATGAGTGAAGGTTGGGATAAGTGATTTTCACTCAGTTGCGATTTCATCCATTTCTTGAGTTGTTTTCTGACTGTTTCAGAAAGCGATTTCTGACTGCGGTTATGATGAAACTCGATCCTTGGGAAGTCAAGCAGTTATGTTGATATTTGGAAGAACAAAACAATGTACACAATTCCCATGGACTGTCAATGAAGCAAGTCAAAGTTTGGGCTTCAGAATTATTTGTTCACTTTGACCATGGTTAACTGAAACATTCAGTTTCTAGCCATGCTTAAGCTAATGGCCGCCTCAAGCTTTTGGCTGCAGTTTAACTGAGATATCACTCTCTGTCAGCAGCAAGCTAAGTCCCATTGCCTTAACTTTGATTCAATGCTAGCCATTTGAATCTTTGGCCGTGGTTAAGAACAGGTCTTACTGCAGTTAACCTTCAACAACTTTTGGCTGTAAAGTGTTTTTCAGGCTAATTAATACTCTAATCTCTGTATTTATGGTTTTATATTACCCTGAAGCCAACAATGCAATATGTTTTTATGGTTCTGAGTTATTTGATCATTTTTTTAGGTTAGAGTTTTCTTTTCTACTCCAGAAAGCGTGGCAGCAAGGATTGAGTTGCCAGAATCCTTCTATATTCTTTCAGCTGGAGAGCTGAATAGAGAAGCTGATCTAAGGAGGAAAAAGCTTGCAGAATCTCAACTGTTGATACCCAAGTCTTATAAGGAGAAGCAGGCGAAATCAGTGAAGAAGAGGTACAAAGCAGCTGTTATTCGCATTCAGTTTCCTGATGGAGTAGTTCTGCAGGGTGTCTTCTTTCCTGGAGAACCAACACTTGCACTCTATGAGGTTTGTTTGTAGCATTATGCATATTATTATTGTTGCCAAGACTTGAAATGTACTCTTAAATAGTAAAGTACTCAGTTATCTTTTTATCACCAATTGTTTTGCTTTTGTGTGATATATGAAGATGTGACTTAACTTAATTAACTGGATTCATCTTCAAAATGTGACTTGTGGAGTAGCTCACTGTTGGCCTGATAATATCGATTAGTTCTGAGTCTTAGAATCAGTATAAGGAATGATAGAGAAAGTAGAAGGGTGCAAATGACTGTTCTAGTTTGCTTGTGCAGTTTCTTTTTCTTTATTTTTCGTTTTTTCCAAACTCCTTCAATTTCTTGAAGTTTCTGATATTTTTCCCAATTTTTTCCTAATCCTTCCTGTGTTTTGCTTTCATTGTTTCATTTATTTGGTAAATTACTGATATTGAAAGTCAAGAATGCAGGTCGAGAGCTCCAAGAGTTTATGGAGTACAATCTGTTCTACATAGGATTGGTCCACTGATGATCCAGAATTGTAAAACGAGTGATCTAAATTGAATCAGACAGGTCATGTAGAACTTTTCTTCTTGATTTCTTTTTCTGTTTGGGTAACTAAAAATTAGGTGGTGCGTGTATGCGGGCTTGAATCCCCAAAGCAGACCATTAACTTGAAGATTGGGAGTATCAGCTTCACTGATATGGACATCTTGAAATCTGGCACACAGGTCCCTTTGTAAACTAGCCCATGTATTTGGGAAAAAACTTAGCAACTTATTATTCTTTATACCTCTCAATGCTACAATCTGATTGAATTTAGACATGCACATTGAGCTGTTTGCTCTGTCCATCTTTCCTTTAAAAAGCTATAAGAAGATTCTAGGTTCCATTGTTTTAAAGTGATGTCCTCCTTTGTTGCTTTCTTCCACACAACTGGAAATTACTTCTATAACAGTGTTACTCTCAGAAAAAGAATCTATAGCATTACTCTTGAGAACAGACTCTATAGCACCGAAGAATATGGCATGAGACAACAGTCAGCAGATTAAAAAAAAAAATGGCATGAGAGAGAACATGATATGAAAAAAATTGTTCAATGGGGTGTGATACCATTTCTTCTTTCTATGGGCGACAAAGATGTGAAAAGAGATCTTGGAAGAAGAATAAGAATCTGGACCTGAGGCTGGGAGGCTGTGGGATGCTTTTATCACAAAATGGTGTCTCTCTAATGATGTTCATTTTCCTTCTTCAATGTCTTGGTTCCTAATTGGATAGTTAAGGAGTCGAGGTTCAAGGCATTCATTTATCATTCCTAATTGGATAGTTAAGGAGTCGAGGTTCAAGGCGTTCATTTATCATTCCTAATTGGATAGTTAAGGAGTCGAGTTTCAAGGCATTCATTTATCATTCTCCCAAAAAAAAGGAATTCATTTATCTCATGCATGTCAAGAGTAAGTGATGAGGAGGAGGAGCCTGATATAATGGGGTCAATGGTGGATACATTCTTATTAGATCTTGGTCCTTGCATCTCCTTTTATAGGGGATAAAGGAACATTGAAAAATGAGGTAACGTTTCATCAAATCGCATAGTTTGAAACGTAGTCCTTTTTCATTGTCTTGTGGAAAGTAGTCATGAACTCCAGATGAAACAGATTAGGCATTGAGTTTGCCTTTAAAGGTAATTCTTTGTCATCCTCCATTGAGCTTGTTTACTGGTGATGAAGGTTGTATTTCTGCAGTAGTGTAGCCTATTGATGAGATAAAAGCTGCTAACATGATTGGAGGCATTCCTTTGAGATTCAAAGTTATTGGAGAGCCGCAATTCCTCTAGTGTTCCTAGTACCTTCTGGATATCTTAACAAAAAACCATCAGAAAAAGAACAAACGAAATGCAACAGAAATATTCCAAGATCCTTTGATATGATTTGACCATACAGTTATAATTGCTTCTGAGATCTGATGATCTAGTTAGATCTGATATGAACTTTGACCATCTGATTGGATTTTGCTCAATCTTGTTTGACCTCAACCACATATGCAGTATGGCACCACTTCTTCAGCGAACATATATTTTGAATAGAGTAGTTCATTTTATTTGACTCAGAACCTTTGTCATGTGTTTGTTATGCTTTATTTAAATAGGAAGTTTAAAGGAGTGCCTATGTGAAACTCAAAGTATTAAATTCAATTTTTTGTTTCAATATACCTGAATTACACTTACAAAGACCACTAAATATTGCTGCAAATAAAAAATAATACCTTTTATACAACCTAGGATATTTATTTTCACTGCCAAAAGAAATAGAAACCATCTAGGAGTTTTAAACAAACTTCTACTATAATTTTTGGTACAATACAAGCTCCTGAAAATTCACATAAAATAAAAAATAATATTGAAAATTAATTAAAACTATTAGAAAGGCTTACCAAAAGATGTTTGGAGTTACCCTTACAGGTCTTGGTACACCCACACCTGATTCCTTGACTGATGACTACTTTTTTAGTTGTTACTGAAAATTCTGAGATGGGAGGCTTTTCTGGCAATACCTTTCAATCTAGGGTTTAGAGAGCTGAAAAACTTAACAAAGGTTTATAGAAACCATAGGGGAACAAACTAGGGCTGAGCTTGTGAGTTGAACTCGCTCTAGGCTGGGCTTCGCCCTTCTTTTATTCAAAATAGAGCAAAACCCTTATCTTAGGGTTTCCTTCATCAAAAAAAAAAAACCCTTACTCTAGGGTTTCACTAAACACCTATAAGAGGAGAGAGAGTAGCGTGTCTCCTTACGGGTAAAGAGAGGAGAGGTACGTGACTTCCAATTTTTAGAGAGATAAAAATATGGCGTGAGGGGGAGAGAGAGAGAGAGGGATCTTGTTCAATGTTTGAAAGAGATTCAAACTAGATCTTTAAATAGAAGGAAATCTATCTCCCAATTTGAATAGGATTTCCTTAGGTATGCTTTATCTAATTTTGAGCTAGACCTTTCGGATAAAGAAATCTGTGGGATGTTAGAGATTTAATCAGAGTCATCCAGCCTACAAATTAACCATTATGATATTGGGTGGAAAGATAGGAACCTTATCCCATTAGATGTTGACCCAAATCCAGCTCCTAATTAAATTTGAAATACAATCGAACTTTATCATTATCTAGATCTCCCATAATTAAGGATAATCTATTTGAAAACTCCTATAAGATAGCAAACCAAATCTAGTTTAAATTAAATAGATTTCCTTTCTTAACTAATTTAAATTTTAAACAACAACAAGAAAGTTGGGCATGCCCCCCACTTCCTAAAAGAGTGGGGTACCCCCCTTTTTCCAAAAGAAGTGACATGCCACTTTTGTTTTAAACAACAAATTTGGGCATGGCGCACTAGGGGATGGAAAGTGGTACCCACACAAAAACACTCAAACTTGTGAGGCTGGATCCTTGGTCCCACATTTGTTAGTTTAAGTTCTGAAATTTCATAAATTCCCTTAAGATAAAAATTACAGCAAAAATAATATTTTAAAATTTTGAAAAAACATTTAAAAATAATAAAAAATACGAAAATAAAATATGTTAGGAGTAGACTAGTACCAATGAGTCAAAAATAGTAACACTAAGGGCACTCCACTTGCCCCAAGAACTATAATCCACTACTGTTTTCTTATCCTTCCCAACAAAGACCTTTGACCTATAGTCTCATTTCAGGGGCTCATGATTGACTTGTCAAAATTGTACAATAGGATCATGATCTTGGAATCTGGATTTCAGCTGCCCCCTTTAAGTGTAAGTCTAGCACTTGTCACCACAATGCAAATGGTTTTCTCTCTATGCACATGTACACATGTCCTTCTATAGGGCTGCTTCCCAGTAATGCGGATGTCATGCGTACATACCGTGTGGAAGTTTATTGAAGCTCTGACCCTTGTCTCATAGGCCCACAACCACACACAGGGGACCACAGTTCTCCTGGCCTATGAACATCATCATTGGGCATCTCGCTAGCCTCAACAAGTGATGACCCACTACAAACCATTTTCGATAGTACCATATGCCCAGGGATAAGGGTTTTGAGCATGACTAGGGCCATAAACCACCCAATTTTTGGTCAATCAACACACACTTCCACTGAAGTGCATATTCCATGATAAAATATCATATTTACAAGCTCTCTAGGCTTTTAAAGGCCACAAAAACCCAACAGAAGTCTATTTTGGTCTTTTTATGCTTTAAGTTATTAGCTTATATGCGGAGGGTAAATGATTCTTTTAGGGCATTTGGAGATTAGATACTTTCTTTAGACATTGTATACAATGTTTCGTGCAATTGACAAACAGTATAACTTCATTAATCATCCATTGTCAACAAAGGGTTGTGATGAGTGTTCCTTGGTCAAAGCCAATGGCTTGCATCAACCCCTTGTTGTACAATGGGCAGTTGAGGTCATGTATATTCTCTATAATTTTATATTTCTTATTTTCTCCAAGGTTTTGCAATTGCAAATCCTAGATCTTGTTGAAATTTGTGCTCCAAGCCACTTTCACCTTGAAAGAAGTTAGTTGAAGCTCTTTCTAGATTCTACATTGCCAAAGAATTTGGTTGGCAGCTGTCCTGTAGCTTTCTAGGTGCCTCATTGCTTGGCTTATATTAAATTTATGTTTGTAATAAGATCATATTGAAATTTTCTTATATTATATTAGTCCGATGGTTTATAAGAAGTACAAAATACCTTTTGTTCTTCTCCAGTTTGGTGTTGAAGAATTGTTTGGATGTCCCAGGTGCCTATGTTGAATTTTTGCATTAAAATTTTCAGAATAAATGCCAAAGAGAAGAGAAAGAATCAAATACAAAATGCATGTGTAACTGGATGGGTACCCATTAAACCTTCAATTTTTTATGGGTTTGAAATTTTTTTGTCTTCCTTGCTTTGGCATCTTTATAGATCATTACTTATCTGAGTACCTCAAGTAAACTAGTCAATGTCAAAGCCACTTTCTCTATCGCCATTGTTATCCATCATTCTTGATAGGTTTCACAAGTTTGAGTTTAAACATTTGAAATGGTCTAGGAAGGCTCTGCTAAAATGGGAACAGTAACAGATCTGATCCAGACTTCTTCGTGTAGACATAAATTTGCAGTGGGATGCCCAGTAGGGGTGGTTCTAAGCTCAAATCGAAGTTCTCTTTGAGATTTACAATTCTATTGCTACAATCTTTTCCTAACTTTGATATTTCGGGATGCAAACCATGGTCAAAATCCTGCAGGAAAATTTAGTGACAGATTTGTTTCCTTGGGGTGTTAAGGTTCTTTTTTTTGTTTTTTTTTCATTAATGATCCTTAATGTAATTGGGATTTTTAGTTTTAGTTTCTTTATATCTGTAGGCTTCTAGAAATACAATGTTTCGACTTTACTATAGTCGATATCATTCTTCTCTTATGCTTTCAAAGGGCCAAGTATAGGCAGTCATAACTTTGAACCCTAAATAAATACCAATGTTTGCCTATGGCCAGGTCATGTGAATTTAGCGATAAAATTTTAGTTTCTTCAGTAGTAGTGAGAGAGAATTTCTTCAAGGACATATTCCTCTTCTTCATTTCGTGGAAAGATCCTACAAACCCTAGCTTCTCGCATGGAAGTTCTCCCTGGTACGGTTGGGCCCCTTCATCTTTCCCTCATTATGTTGCATGCCCCATCCAAGATTTCTCACAATCAACTCCATTACCCTTCTTGTCATCTTCAAAAAAACCCTCTTAATAAGCTGGCCAGTGCCCCCCCCACCCCTGTGAACCTTCTCCTGACGATATCTAACCCTCCCCATTAACACGGGCTAAGCCCTAGCTCCATTAAACCTCTTATCATCCACTTCGACTCAACATAGGAGACGTCAACAAGTTCAAAACCTTTTTTCCCGTATCTCCTAAGCTTGCCAAGAGCCATTAAAGTCATGTAGGAGCCAAACTCCCTTTGACAATATCAAGAAATATCTTTTTTTCCAAATTTTGAAGTCACATAATTGGGTAGTGAATAAATGATGCGTCTAGATGGAATTTGACTATTTTGGCCTCTAGAACTCATTCAAACCTAACTTTGTTCTTATTCTTAAGTGTTTTTCTTGGGTAGTTAAGAATTAAGAGCTAAGGCAAAACATTGTTTATTTGTTTATTTTTGTAAGTAGCTTTAGGAGTGATTTGCAACATTTTCAAATAAGCAGGGTTCAGACACTAGGTTTCCCCATGAGTCAGCTGGAGTGGATCAAATATTTAGTAATGATTAGTGGTCCGTACCAAACATAGCCCTATATTGTCAATATTGCAACTTTAGCTTAATCAAACAGCCATGCTTGTCACCAGCCTCACAGAAGAGGCAAGCATGTGATTGAATGGTCAAGCGGACAATTGGTCATCTCAACTGCTTGTCATCCAGAAGGGAAGGTGGAGATTAGATGTCGTGTAGAAACAGTATTGTATGGATTCCCTCCTGGAGGTCTATGTACTAGAAAGCATATTGAAGATCTCATCAAGTGGAGAACGACTATGCACTTTCCTTTATGCAACACAATAAATGTAACAATGGGATATTTGCAGAGAAGTATCCAGGTGGTGCTATGTGTTATGCAGTACCCATGTTTTTTATCTTGTTGAGATGGAGTAAACTAAAATAACTATCCTGGAAGTATAGTTTATATGTTGAAGTGTTTTTTATTTTATATAATTTGATTGGTAGTATGATCTTACATAAGTTTCTTTAGATATAGCAAACATACGCAATGCTTTGCAATTAAAGCAAAACACAGTATGAATATTGATCTGCTTGCCCTGTCTCAGTTTGTCAGCTCAGCTCTCAAGGAGCCTAGTTTGGAGTTTGACCTTTTGCAGTGCTCGATACCCAAAAGCCGCACAATCCCACGGTTCCCAAAAGTGGGAGAGCGAAATCCGACGCTCGAAGATGAAGATCTGGTTCCCACATCTCTGGTTAAGTTCAAGCCCATCGAAACAGATTCAGTTGTCTTCACTGGCCTTCGAAATGAACTCCTTGAAACCAGTGAACCCATTTCTGCATCAGCAAGCCTAAGCTAGCACATGTAGACAATCATGCATCTGATACAGCTTCAGACCTTCATATTGATTGTTCTCGATCGTTCTCTCTCCCTAGCTTTGGATATTTTGGAGTATGCGAAGGACTAAACCTTTGTGGGTTAAATATTCAATTCTTGTCCAGGTGATGCTCAAACTGGGGTGTTATGAGAATCATCTACTCGGGAAATAGACTTAATATTTGAAAATTACCTTGTGCCAATGCCTCTAGTAACCTTGTTTAGGCTTGTGCCAATTTGAAATTTTTTATAAAAAAGTTGAATAATTGAAATTGCTACGAACTTTGAAAATGGATGCTCTGGATTCTATGAATTAGTTTTGAAGAAAATTTTCTGTGTTTTTATTTGTTCCATGCATGGCGTGGCCAGTTCGCAAAACCCTGTCTCCTACATCAGACAGTAGCAGCAGCTTGGAGTTTCTGTCCACGCATATGGAGAGAGACTAATGCTTTTGCTTTTAAAATAAAATTTGAATTTAAAGGAATAGAGACAACGGAAATAATGGCTGTTATTTTTGAAACAAGGGAAATAATCACCATTGATTTGGAGAAAATGTTAGTTTTTCAAAAATAAAGTATCTTTTTTCTTAGGATCCGGTTTCTATGCGGCCAAGCCTGTATATGTAGAAATGCGGGGGTCTTAATAAATCTATTTTTCAGATGGATTTTAAGACTTAATTTTTAAGGACATGTAATCTTTAACATGGAGATTATGAATATGAAAAAGTAAATAAATTTTAAAAACTAGAAATAATAAATCTAGTAAGAAAGCATTTGGACTGTTAGTTTCCATTGTTTTTAGATGGAACACCTATCATCCATCTTTAAGATGGGTGTTTTACATTTTAGGGACAGCGCATGTAGAAATGTGGTCCAGCCCGCATGAAACAATTTTCCCTTTTCTTAAATTTTATCACTAATTCCTCACTTATTTTCATGTGGTATTTTTTTTTGAAAGTTATTACTGATTTTTGGACTATTTTTTACAATGTTTTCCATATTTCTTAAATTTTAGTCTATACACACTCCATCTAGTTCAATGCGGATATGCTCATGTTTCGTTTGATAAAAGGTGAGTAGATTTATATTACTGAGTAATAAAATGATACGCTCATTTGAAAGGCATTAGCGTTATAAAATAGGTGGGAAGGCAGAAAGTGGCTCATAAAAGCGAATAAAATTGTTGTAATCTAACGCAACGCGCAGCTCTTGCATATAGGGGAGTTTTTCTCAAAAAAACAAAAAACTACCATTATTATCAAAATGGAAAAATAAGCTTGTATATTTCATATTTTATGCTTAAGTCTCCTTTTTTTAAGAGTGTGCATTACAACTTTATTTTATTTATTTTCTGTTCATCAGGTTAAGCTCAAATTCTGGGGATTTCATGCTTCCCACAATCTCACATTTGTAAAAACTGCTAAAAAATATTTTAAACTAAATAGAATGACCAAAGTACTTCAAAAATTTTGAAATTGGTCATTTTATTTATTCTGATTGCATTTTTTTTAGTTTTTTAAAAAGTGTATCATAGGGAGAATTGTATATGCACAAATTTTGACCTTAAATGGAATACAATTAAAACATAATATATGCTATCCAAAGGGACTTGCATAAAATATGAAAATATATGAGACTATTTTTTTATTTAAAAAATAAAAAAGCTTTTCTATTAATTTTCCTTTCAGTTATAACATTTAAAAAATACGAATAATAACGGTTCTTTTAAAAATCGCATAATCAAGTGTGAAAAGTTCAAAACAATTATATTCTTGTAAAAATTATCGCAATATCAATTCTTTTGTTTTTGAATTTGGAGTCCACCCTTTATGGGTGTAGGATCTCCATAAAATTTTCAATATCCTTAGCAGCTAATAGAGAAGAGGACATCCATGGTATTGTCCGACTCATTAATTGTACAAAAAAATAAAAAGGGAATCACATGAGATATAAAATTTTCAATTGGGATAAGGTTAATTTGAAATAATATTATTTAAAATAAGAAATATAATTAATCTTTTAGATAGGATTCTCTCATATTTCTATATAAAGGTGTTAAGAAAAAATAATAATAATAGAGAACTCTAATAGGATTTACATGTCTCTCAAAAAGAGTTTTTTCTATACAACTAAAGCTTATCCCTATCTCTCTTGTACTTTTCTCTCTCTCAAGAAATCTTAGAATAAGAAAACTTATATAGGTGATTCAAGAGCTTTTTGGCCTTCCATCAAAAGTTTGGGATTTACACTATGTATATTATATTTCTTGTTATAGTAGTCAAAATCCGGTCTAGGGATGTGAGCAGTGAACTTTTGAACCGGAGGAGACGCATGCAAAGGGAAAATGGAAAAAGATCTCAACCGTAAGAAAAGAACCAGATCCAAAATGATATATAATTTCTATCAAATATGTTTCTTTTTTGTGTTTCCACAACTTTTATGATTCATCGTGGATTCCAAAATTGGTATCAAAGCGATTACAATAGAAGTCCACCTTTTAGATCTCATAACCAATATGGTTGATGCATAAAATCACAAAAAACAGATTTTTTTGCCATTTTTTTTGTCCCTTTTCGTATTTTTATGGGGCCTTTTTGGAAGTTTTGGAGGTACAGATAGTATTTGTGCTTTTGTCACTTCCTCGTTCCTGGAAACCCGATGGAGAGATTGATGATGTATATTTGGAGCGTCACTCATCTCAATATCCAGGGTTAGATGTTGCTCTATGAGTGATAGTGGCACCATTCTTAAAAGCAAATAGACTATGGAGGTTGAGAGTGTGGTAGCAAATGGAGGTGAGGCAAGTAAAGGTCTCCAATATGAAAAGTCAACTTTGACCTATTATGATTGTGAGAGAGATCCGCTACTTCACTTGTGTATACACTGAGTTGAAGGTGGCGAGAACCATCTACTTCACTCTATATGCTAGTGTAAGGATGGGGTTTTGGATGCTTATTCACTTTCAATTAGTTTGATTAGTTTGATTGAACAATTGGGAGCATCATAAAATAGTATGGGAGGAAGATAGGTTCATTTAGCTTCCCTTGTTCCGGTGGGAGGTAAGAGCATTGGATTGGGAGAACCACCTCAAGGGTGTAGTATGTATAAGGTTATATAGATCATCATTTGTTCTGGATTGGACGATGATGCCTCATTATATGCTCTATGCTCCTGAAACGACGAGAAGTCCACCTTTTAGTGTCTAGACCCTCTTCTATATGACATTCATTTTTTTTTTTTGAAGGGGATAATGTTTTTGAAAAATTGCATGTTTGATTACTTGTTTCAATGGATTTTCTCATACAAGGATAGTTATGGAAAATAAATATTCCCATGTCAGAACCTTGTTTAATAGTAATATCCGCTACAAAAACCCTTTTTATAAAGTACAAAGATTGTAAGAAGACTTTTGTATTGGTCCCTTAGATGGGGGCCAGTGACAAATCAATATTAATATTTGCGCCATTCTTAGTCTCACTTTAATTAGAGGCAACATATTGCTTCGATAGATTTAAGTTGGAAGTTAAGTTCCAGTTAGGGAGGAGAATTATGATTCTCATAACCGACAAGGGGCACAAGTATATAGTTGAATTTCTAAGACAATTCTCTCAGGATCATGAGATTCATCAGTAGAAAACGATTATGTATACCATATAGTAATAGAGTGTTGCGAGAGAATGAATGATACTCTACTGGATATTGTGATGTCTATCATAGCACAGTACATCTATATGTGAGCTTCTAGTAGATGTTCTATTGAGTGTTGTGTCCATCTTGAATAGGGTTATGTAAAGATCTTTGTCTTAAAACCCCTTAAATTAAAGAAGTTAAAGACTAATTAGAAATCCCATCCATGCCTTTTCAGTCCTTGGCTGTATGTTGTTCTTGTCATTTCATTTGACACTAAGCTAAACTAGAGATCCATAGTGTAAACCTTGACTAGATATTTTAGATCTCTAATGGGTATATCCTAATATGTAAGACCCAAGAAGGTCAACTAAAAGAAAGATTGAATTCTATGACGTGGAATTCATTGAACTTAAGTTCCTATGAATTAGGAGGTCTCAGATAACTGTTGATCTGAAATAGAGAATGGTGAGGAGATTCATCCTCTAGAGGATGATAGTGGGAATATTCTCATTGTCATTGATGATAGTGGGACGGAACAACTATTATTTTTTGGCCTTATATGAGTGCATGCAATAAAGTTCATTAGAGATTTTGAAATTGTAAAGGAAAGGTATGGCCTGCATTTCCAATAATTTGAATTAACCAGTTTCAGATAAGGAAACTTTGAGATCATATGTTTTTAGGACTATTGTAATTGCTGAAGAAATAAAAGTTCTATGAATGAGAGCCAAGTATGGGAATTTGTGGATCTTCCTCGAATATAGAGAACGATGGGATTATAGATAAAGCACAAAACCTGAAAAGTAGCGAAATGGTTTACTCAATTGAGTGTGTGGGCTGTATTGATATATTCTATTTGGTGGTGAGAATAGTATCAATTTGCGTCAAATTTTCCACTATAGTGAGTTACACTCTGGAACTTGAGGACATGGTCATTCAGGTAGTATTTCTTAAAAGGATCTATTATCAAGAATGGTGGGAGCTCCATGATCTATTTATTATGAGATAACGAGATCCTAATGGTAAGGAATGATAAGGAGAATATCAATATTATTGAAGAGTGGTTGCCTTCCAATTTTGATGTGGAGATATAGGTAAAATCCATCATGTTCTTGATGTTGAGATCAAGCACAATCATTCTAAGAAATTCCTTGACTTTGTCTTAATTGATTTACATTAGGAAAATCTTCAAACAATTTAAGATACATGATAGAGGGCATATTGGAACTCCGGCTAAGAAAGGTCATGTGCTTGGACTGATATGTGAAAAAATAATTTGTGTTCCACATGCAAGCATAGTCACCAGTCTTATAAATGATATGTTATGAACTTGATGGGATGTAATGTAGGACTTGTCAAGTCACTATTAGAGCAATCCAAGTATGCAACATTGGCGCACCATGAACTCGACATTCCGATGTTCTCAGAGAATTATAAAGTATTCATGAATCTTTCTGAGAAATGATATCCACTATGAAAATAGTGTAAGTCTAATTGGATGGGGGATTGGACTATTGATGGTTAACATCATAAAATGTCTCCACTCAGGGAGTGGGAGTGATTTTTTGGTGCAACAAGTTAAATGACATGATTGGCATGCCCAATATAAAAATGGAGTATATCTTCACTATTGTCAGAAGATTGTTGGAAAGGAAGATCAAAACATTATTTTGGTTTGAGAAATGGTACGGTGATGCAACTTTAAGATTTTCCTTCCTGGAGGCATTTTAAAAAATAATCTGTTAGCCACTGAGGAATTGAGAGTAGGGTAAGGGTCTGATACTTCTCGATCCATCAATGGTAGGTATCTCAGACACTTCATCGATCAATTCGCTACAAAATATCTTTTCTATCCTTATAAGGAAGATTAATTCATTTGGGACCTTACTCCAGAGATTTTTCAGTCAAAACTGTCTATCGGTAATTATACGAGGATAGAAGCAGGTTGATTGACTACTCTTTAGTATTGGAGATTCATGTCATAGTACGAGCTCTTTTGTGGATTGTTTGTCAAAACAAACTTGCTATTATTGCGAACTTAAGAAGAAGGGGGTTTATTTTAACTATGTGTCTTTTTGGTAAAGCAGGTGAGGATCTTCCTTGAATGCCCTATCGCATTGGAGTTATGGAGATGGGTAGGGAAAAGTTCAATCTACAAATACATATTCCTCAAAACATGTCATGCTTGGTGTTTTAATGGAACTGCCAAAGATTGGTAAATTATTGTCTGGGCAAGTGTCATTTGGAATAACTCGAGAGAGAAGAATAAAATAACATTTGAAGGAGTAGTGAGGAGCATTAAGATGCTTGAATCAATATCTAGGCAATGGGTGCGGCAGGAAATCATAAGGAGTTCAAATTTAGTTCAGAAGAGCAAATTATTCTCAATTCCTACGAGGTAACAAACTTAAATGAGCATATCCGCCTATTGATTATTCAAACTCAACTTCAATGGAAGTTCTTTAAAGAATCCTGGTATTGCCATTGGAGGCTTAATAAAAGACCACAAGGACAGCATTTTGTTGTCCTTTTTGGGATCGTGTGGAGATGCTAAAGCCCTTAGAGGGGTTAAAGCTTATCCCATCCTTTGAAGACCATAAGATTAATGAAGAGATTCTGCCTACACTATTGCTTGGAGTGATGGGACGCACGGGTTCCTGGGAGACTTATTCATATCTTTGAAGAAATTAGGGAACTCATGTCTAGGGAGGATATGGATTTTTTTCATCATTTTAGGGAGGCTCTGTGAAGCTGACATGTTAGCTAGAAGTGGTGCTCATCAACATTTGCCGGTGATTGCTAGATTGGCCTGAGCTTATTTGTATTTCTTGCACTTGTTTCTTTTCAACAGAAAGTACATGTCAAAAAAAATAAAATAATACAAGTCTCCATACCGAGTATTTTAATCATACAGTCTATTATTAGTGATCATGAGTGCAAACAAACAGCCCCTGAGAATTCTTTGTTGAAGAAAATATGGATAGAAATTTATTTCTCAAAGATATTACCTTTTTAAGGGTAGCGTTTGCTCTTTCCCTCAATCTCCTAGGACTGTACGCAAGTCATCATTCTGCCTGGTTAAAAATCTGTCCAAGAAAAAGCTAGTTGCAAAAACATGAAGCCAAACCTATCGTTTGGTGCTTTAACCCTGCTGCAAACATGTGGATGATTAAATATTAAAAGGAAATGCATACAGTTATTTACTTTTGATATAAGAAGCTCACAATCATTATTATTGGTTAGATGTGAAATCAAATGATTGGAGATATGCCATTGACTAGGCAGAAAATCCAAGAATAAATTTCTTGAATATTATAATATTTTAATATGTTGAATTTCACATCTAATACCTAAATATGACTATGACCTCATATCACAAATGTAATATAGTCAATTTTTGAAAGACCGGATATGGGTTTGGCTCCTTGCTGAGCTAAGTACCCAATTGCAACTGAGGGTGATTAAAAAAAATTTAAAAACAGACATGAAATATATATAAATGTGTAATTAAAAAAAATCATATATGTACTTTTGAAGTTTTTCACAATGACTAGCGAGTTTTCCCTGTCATATGGCCTATTTTTATATTTTCTTCTTTTTTCAGATTTTTCTAAAATGTCTTCTCATATAGATCGAATTTCTAAAATTCATATTTTATATACATTTTTAGCTTTTTTGGACTTCTTATATATCTTTTGACTTTGTTTCATTTTTTTGAAATTTTATTTTATTTTAAATAATTTTTTGATATTTTTCAGTAGGCCTTTTTTGAGCTCTGCACTCAACAGTGTGGAGTCCACTTGGACGCAGCCGAGTTACTCCTTGGGCTAGGAGGCGAGCTAAAAAACATCTCATTGAACCAACAAGAATTACATCTCATGTCTTCAAGGAAATACTGACATAAGCTCCATGGACCCGTACATCAATCACTTTGCCCAAGAAGAAGTAAAACAAAGAAGCCAAGACCTGGTTTGATAAACTGACATATCACATCTTGCATCTTTGTGCTATGCAAAACCCCGATGCAAATATATTATATTCACATATGCAAAGACAAAATGGTGAGCTCACGTAGAAGTGATATGACTGATTATATCAACGGGCAAACGCAGATCAAGGCAAAGGCCACTGATTATTGGTTTGAACTTTGCGCCAGTTTAGGATGCGTTGCTGCATAAACTGAGGAGTTTGGGTCGGGTTTCAAGTGGCAAAGAAGATGCTGCAACTCTGGCCTTAACATTTCTACCGCTTTGCCACACAGAGTCAGTGTCTCAGGTCTAGGCTTCGTGTTGCTCTGCACAGTCCCTTGTCCTTCAGAAATTACGGCGTGGTGCCTGAAGAAAAGGAAACAGAATTGGGAAGAAGAATATAAGAGAAGATAATAATGTGTGGAGAGAGAGAGAGAAAGAAAGAGAGTTCTCACAAGAAATCTATGAGATCTGATATTTCTGCAAATTCGGTGGGAGTTGACAGCTGAGAATTTCTCCCCAAGACATCTGCCATCACGTTGAATAGCAAGGCCAGTGTCTGCAAGATACAAAATACAGCTGGAGTACAGAAACACTATCTTTTTCTAGGTCAGGAGTAAAAAGCATGAGAGAGAGACATACCTTCATGAAGAGTTGGCGTGCAAATGCGAAGCGAGGAAGCAGTGGGCCCATTATACGAAATGCAATTCTCAGCATGGCAACAGAAGTTACAGGCCTGAGATGTTTTATAATTGCATGCGTGCCTTCAAGCCACTCTTGAGGGAGGTTACTAAAGAATGAATGCAGCAGTGCAACTGTGTTGCCTGAGGGTATAGAAGATGACAAAAGATCATGTGATTTTAGATGTGCAAAGCAACACCTCATTAGATAAGACTGTCTTGATTATAAAAGAATATAGGAAATGACAAGAAATGCATTCAAGTAATCTTTTGAGAGTTGGTGGTTATCTTCTGAATATCTTATTCTTTGGCAGCCTGTGAAGCAGAATTCATTGCTGCAGAGAATAATTGCTCCTCCATCCAACAGGTTTCAATCAACATGGTATTACAAAAATTAAAGCAGTCACATGCAAAAAGGTGACAGACTTCCTTGACAAGAAAAGTTAATCAAAGATATGCTAATATGTAAACAAGGTAATCTCACAGAGTAAGCACATCCAAGGTCCCTGCGTTGAACTGATCTTGTCATACAGCTACAACACTTTTATCTAAAGCATGGCTATGCAAATAACCAATCACTAACAACATAGAAGACACTGAATTTGAACAAATATACTAAGTTTAGAATTTTTTGCAGACAGCATAGAGAACCTTCTCTCTTCAACAAACAGTTACACCATTGTCCAAAGTATCCATAAATCTTACAATATACAAAAAGGAGTATATAGACCAGAAGATACATAGGTTTAAGGGAGAATCCCTGCAAAAAATATCTTTCTTCAACCGAAGGACAAGGAAACAAATTCCTCTGCACACAATCCAATGAGAAGAAAATGACTTCAGTGCCAGATGTATTGAGATAAGGAAGTGCCTTAATCTCATTCAACATCCTGCTGAATCCAAACTATGACCATATACAAGGGAACGAGTACACCAAAGTGCTGGGACTTGCCTAGGCCAACGTACTCGCCCTTGGCCAAGGTGAGCTACTCAAGTGAGTCCAAGTAACTCGCTTGAATCGAACCCGAGTTCAAAAATAATAAAATAAAATAAAATAAGTGGCCTAAAATGGGCACAATTTTATTTATATATAAAATACATTCGGAGGGTGTACAATTGCTACGGTTAAACCCACCTCGCCCTAAGGGCAAGTCCGAATGGACTTGGCCGAGTCACAGAACACTGGAATACACAAATAACTCAATAGCAAGACAAGCACATTACAACAGAATATGATGCATCAATAATCCAACTGGCAACTCATAAATTTGTAAATTAAGGAATTGAAAGAATACCAACTGCAGTTGAGGTGTTATCTTGAGCAGCCCACGTCGGATCACACAAGGCATAGCCAACTGCAGAATCAAGTTCCCTGGATGACTTTGATGTATCTGTAAGCCACCAACAGTCTTTAATTATACGTGATGCTTCCGCATATAATTGCACGTGAAAAGCTGGTGGAAGTTGCGATAATAGCAGCCCGCAAGCTTGAATCATCAAACACGATAGTGGTTGGCATGTATAACCACTTCTAGAAACAAAATTGGAGGTGCTGATTCCAGTTGAGGATGCAGCTGATCTGGTTGTGTTCAAGGAATCAGTGCTACCACCTGATGGAGAAGTTGGTAGACCAGAGCTTTGTCCAGCACCTTGAACTCCTGTGGTAGATTGAATCAAAGTTGGCTGGACGTGCACAACTATTTGGACAAGTGATGATACAATTTGAGAAGCAGTTACTGGGAGTGAAAGGATTTCAATGACTGCAGTTTCAAGAACTAGTTGAGTGTGAGTTCCTGGATCTTGAATCTGGTAGAAGGCTTTCTGACCATCCATAGGACTCATGGGCATGGACTGAGTGGTTTGGGTTTTGTTGGGCACAGAGCGTGAAGAGCTACCAGTCATATCTCCTGTAGATCCCGATCTTGTCTTGCTGTTCAGAGGTGGTATAACATTGTTTACAAGGCCCAAAAGCAGACTTGCAAAATATTCGGGTGGTGGGCATATACCAGAATTCGATGGACCAATATGTTGAGGGAATGATTCTGAAAAAGGAATCTGAAGCAAAAATTGAACTCAGCAAATATTTTGATTGAATGAAACCAAGGAAAGGAGAAATGGAGTAACAACTTTAATTACCTTTGGATAATCAAGTACATTCAGTATTCGGACAATGAGTTTGCTAGGAATATGATCATAGAAATACGCAAGAATGTCACGCACAAATGTGAACCTCAGTGGGTGGTACGCAAGAAATGCAGAATAAGTGGCAAGAACTCTGTCTGCAGTATCAGTCGCATCATTTTCAATAAGCCGATAAATGATCAGTGGGATGACTGGCAACATGCGTGCCACAATATCATCAAAAAACGTCGGATACCTGAAACCGACAATAAAAATTATCAATAAAACAAAGTAAATATGACATTTAGAAGCCAATCATCATCAGATGGCCTAGATGAGAAGATTGCCAGGTAGACAGGTTAATGCTATAATCATATTTAAAGCTAAATTCTGTAATCAGGAAAATCTGTTCCATGATACTAAGTAATAAATATGCTTTTGTAACAAACACACTTTCATGTAATCAAAACATGCCTGCTTTCGTAGTGTTGCAGTTTTTTTTTAACAAAGAAAGGCTTCAGATTGCAGATAATTTTTTATGAATTGCTATGTTTGTTACTTTTCATAAGTGTATTTACAAAATGGACAAAATGTACTTCACTACTTACAAAAAAATGTACTTGGCTACCGAAGAGTGAGAATCAAAGGGTGTGAAAGATGACGAGGTCAATAAAAGGTGCAGGTCAATGAAAGGTGGAGAGTTTAGTTTCAAAAATTATTAAATGACGAACACAATGGGAACATAGCGGTAGAAGGAACTGGTAGTACAAATACGGGCGGAGGTCATATATACATTAGTAGGATTAGGATATTGGAAGTGAAAGAAACTTTGAAAAGGATGAAGATAGGAAAGGCTTTAGGACCAGATGGTATCTCGATAGAGGTTAGGAAGTGCATGGGGGAGATTGACATTGACTGGGTGACGAAGTTGTTCAACAAGGTGTTGAGAACAAAGAAAATGGCAAACGAATGGAAGAAAAGTATTATGGTACCTATTTACAAGAACACAGGAGACATACAGAATTGTGGGAACTATTAATGCATCAAACGTATGAGCCATACTATAAAGCTCAAGAAGAGAGTGATTGAGCAACGACTAAGGGATAAAACGAGTGTATTTGAAAACCAATTTGGTTTTATGCCAAGAAGATCAACTGAGGCTATTTTCCTACTTAGGCAATTGATTGAGAAGTTCAGGGAGAAGGAAAAATACCTCTACATAGTCTTTATTGATCTAGAGAAAGCTTATGATAGAGTACATCGAGATTTGATTTGGCAGGCTTTGGAAAAGAAAAGAGTCTCCAGACACTACATCGACTTTATGAGAGATATGTATGATGGAGCGCTAACTAGTGTACAAACAACTAATGGAGAGACGAGTGAGTTTTCAGTGACAATAGGTCTACATCAAGGGTCAGCATTGAGCCTGTACCTCTTTGTCTCAGTTATGGACGACTTAACTAGGCACCTACAGGATGAAGTACCGTAGCGCATGTTGTTTGCAAATTACATAGTTTTGATTAGTGAGACCCAAAACGATGTCAATACAAAGTTAGAACTTTGGAGGGATGCTTTAGTATCCAAAGGTTTTAAAATTAGCTAGACTAAGATAGAGTATATGAAATGCAAGTTTAGTAATAATAGGAGTAGAGATGAGGAAGTAGTTAAAATTGATGACTAGGAAGTACAAAAATGATAGCACTTTCGATATCTTGGGTTGATAATCTAAGAAAATAGAAAGATTGAGGAAGATGTCGTACACAAAATTAGAGCTGGATGGGCTAAATAGAGATGTGCAACTGGAATTTTATGTGATCACCCCATACCAATGAAGCTGAAAGGCAAGTTCTATAGGACAACTATGAGGCCAGCTTTGCTTTATGAGGCTGAATGTTGGGCAGACAAAAGGCAATATACTCATAGAATGAGTGTAGCAGACATGAGGATGTTGAGATGGATGAGTGGTAAGACAAGAAGAGATAGAATTAGAAATGAATCCATTCAAGAGAATTTAAGTATGACACTAATACGCGATAAAATGAGAGAGAGTAGACTTAAGTGGGCTGGCCATAGGTGTCCCCGACTAAGTACAACACCTGTTAGGAGATGCAAGTCAGTTCAAGTGGAATGACTTAAACGGGTAAAAGGTAGGCCCAAAAGGACATGGTTGGAAGTAGTTTGGAAAGATATGGGGACTTATGGCCTTACGGAGGGTATGACATTTAATAGAGAAAAATAGCAGACCAGGATTTGTGTAGCCAACCCCAATTAATTGAGAAAATGCTATGATGATGATCATAAACTTGCTCCAAGGAACCATTTGTGTGATAATACTTCTCTTAATTTTTTCCTTTGTGTAATAATACTTTGAATTCTCAGCAAACGTGAGAAAACTATGTCTCAGTCTATACAAAGCTCAAAAATTTCATGCAAATTTGTACCTATCCTCAATGAAAGATACTTTCCTTTTTGGACAGACACAATGGCGTTTTGCGGGTCCACTGCCACCTACAATGAATTTGAACATGGTGATAATAGCTGGAGGCTTTCGCTTCACTTGAGTGATCGACACCATTAGAGCCTGAGTATGTGAGGATAATGCTACCTTGGTGATCACGAAAAATGCACCGCAATCCTGTCAGTTCCGAACAACAAATGGAACTTCCATCCAACTTAAGAGTAATGCTCCCTTGTTTTGGTGATTCCCAAATTGTCAAAACGTATTTCAGCCTCCCAACCCCAAGTATCTTGGTTTTGTTTTTTACTTTGATTGTTTTAAATCTATTAAAAGTGAGAAACATAGAAGGGTTCTTTCATTTGGAGAACAGTGGTGAACTTTTTTCCATTTTCGTGGATTGTTTATTTCCTCAATTCAGTACTTAGACTTGTCATGTGATGAATAGGGTCCGTTTCAAGTTTAAAAGCTCAGTTTAAGAGAAAGAATGGGCCTTTACAGTTCTGCTTTTCCCCTCTAGTTGAGAGCAGTGAGAAACCCTGACATTTCTATAGATTATGATTTAAATCTATAGAAACAAGAAGGGGATGTTGTGATTTTGTCATTAAGGAGAAAAAGAAAGTTTCGATTTATTTTGATTGATTATTCCTTCTATTCATTTTTTATGTTGCAGTGTAAGCCACAAGCTATAAACTTGTAAATTTAATGTATTCGTGCCTTTGTGGTGATTGTAATTTTGTATTCTCTTATTTTGGCTGGAAGATTGATTTTTTTGGAGTTGGGGGATAGTGAGGACGACTAATTTATGATTTTTGTTTCTTCAATTGCTTTCACAATATGGTTGGTTGAAACAATTGGTAACAGGGTTTCTATTATACGTTTTTGGCCTTTTATTGTTAAAAAAGCAAGGGGTTCTTCACATTTTGGGAAGAGGTAGGTACTATGTGTTAAATAATTCTTCATGTCTTAATCATTCAATTTATGTTATAATGATTAGTGAATTTAGTGGTGTAGGGTTGTTTCACATAAATGGGATTTGGGATCTTGTCCGAAATAATTATTTTGTTGGTCTCAGTAGACATTGGGTGTAGTTTGGGTGATGCCTTGAGTTGAGTTTGGGTGGTGGTTTTGGTGATGGTTTCAGTGGTGTTTGTAGTGGTGATGGTTCAAGAGATTCAAAAGTCTCAGAAAAATAATGTATTGTAGAAACTAAATAAATTAAAATATGTACTATCACATGAATGACATTTATGTTTTCTCTATACATTATATATTTGCTATTTTTCAAACTCTTTAAATTTATTGACGGCATTAGGAGTGATGCGTCTGCATTAGCTCCGCATCACGCACTTTTCAAACACTGGTCAATTGAGGCCTTAAATTTTATTAAGGTTGGGGGGGCTATTTGGTTTATTCAAAGACGTAGTAAGTGACATAGGGCAACAAAAGGCCGTCCACTTTATCACAAATAAGAGAAGATGCAGCCAACTATGCACTTGGAGGACATTTGCTCCAAGAATATTACCCCACCATTTATTGGACAATTGCACATATCAATGAAATTGAAGGGGAAGTTCTATAGGATAGTTGTAAGACAAGCCATGAATTATGAGACGGAATTTTTTTTTTTTTGAGGAAAGTTCACTATATTTGAATTTCAAAAGGAGGTGACGGAAATGGTCACAAAGAACATGCCCATGAGGAGCAAACCAAGCATTAAACCTAGTGCTGGGAAAAGATAGAAAGAACGAGGGTGGAAGATAAGCCTAAGAAGGAGGATTGAGGAGAGCCCCTTCTTTGGCCAGACTATCAGCCGCGGTATTTGCTTCTTTGAAGGCATGCCACCACGAGATCTTAATGTTGCTTGATAAAAACATGACCTCCTCAAATATATTGTCAAGATGCCATGGCCACGATGAGCGATTGGATGCCCATCGAATGATGTTTATGGCATCCCCTTCTACCACAATATTGTGACTCCATGTGGGATCTAACTTGTGAAGGCCTTCCAGAAGGGCGAGTGGAATCTGCAAAACCGATGGGTAGCGAGAAGGAAAAAAGGGTGCTTCCATCACAAGAACATTATAGGCCCCCCAATACCTGGGTTGCCCTAAGATCACCCATCAAAGTTAAGCTTCAATGTTCCCGCTTCAGGTGGTCTCCACCACGAGGCCCACGAGGTTTTGAGGCTAGATAAGAGTAAAAGGTTGGACCAGTTGCTATGGAAGTCGGTGGAGGGCAAGAACTTGAAGAGAGAGTGATTGGAGGCCCAAAAAGCTACCAAGTTCCTGATTTTCTCTGCCAGCTGATTGACCGAAGACCTCTCTCCCCGAAAGATTCTATTATTTCTCTCGATCCATAGCACCCAAATGCTAGCCAAGACCACGGCTTTCCACATAAGCCTACCTGCCTTGGGCTAAGGAGTAGAGAGGAACGTACTACATAGGTGAGGGATATTGGAGGGAGTAACCCACACCCATTCGAAGAGGCTCAGGGCTGAACAAGAGAAAACACTGTGTAGGAGAAGGTGAGAATTGGATTCCTCCTCCTCCATATACAGATTGCATTTGTTTGGGAGTTGAACTCCTCTTCTTTGGAGCTGGTCCACAGTCAAAAAACGTTGATGCAATGCTATCCAGCAAAACACTTGTATTCTTGGTGGGATCCAGAGCTTGGATGCCACTGCTGGATGTGGGCCAGAGAGTGCAGAGATGGTGCTGAAAAAGGAAGCCACCGAGAAAGCACCGGAAGGCGAGGGGCCCCAAATAATCGTGTCCTCCCTCAAGGAGGGAAGGAAGGCC